GAAAAAATGTTGGAGATTGTATTGAGGCAAAGTGCTGAAAAGCATGAATCATTTCTACTTAAACTGTACCTCATTTTTAAAGTGTGGAGATTCTAGATTATTATGTAACAGCTCTCAAATGTTGAGGATATTAGGACATACAAGTACATGTGTATGACTACAGACATAAAGAAGAAAGCCTACAACATATATGCTTTCTTCTACGATGTAGTACAACGTTGTGAAGTGGGAGTACACTTTGTTTTGCCTTAATGAAATCACAAAGGAAGTTTTAATGGGAATATTTCGATTTATTGAAACTGACAATGCAGGTATTTACGGATCCTTATTCTTACTGGATTTTGTAATTCTAATCCTATATGGATGAAAACACTGCAGTGAACACATGCACACAAACTCACGCTTAACAGACAACAATATTTTGGAATTAATACAAAACCTGAACAAGTTGCTTGGGTTACTGAAAATATTTTTGTAATTGATAATTCTCACTCAGAGAGTGATAAATGTATACCAGAAGTGATTGTTATTAGCTGTATTTTATCACTAACTCCAGATTTTGTGGCAGAGCAGGGCTACAAAGCAGAACTTTCTCTAATTTTTAAAGCATTTTTATCCATCCTCTCAGCTCAAGAGAAGCAAAGGTACTTTTGTTAGCTTGGTATTGATACAAAACTAGAAGTACATTTGGTAAATTTTGAACTTCATGGAAAGAATTACAAATTGTTGGAAGAGGCATAAGAGTTTATAAGGTAGTGCGATTTCTTTTCTGAGATGCTCTGAATCCATGCCTGATAATACTTTCAGATTTTAGGAAGGTGTAGGATAATGGTAATGTGTAATCAGTGTTCAAAGTGCTACTCATGTCTAATTGAAGTTTTTTTAACCCTTAATGAACTTTTTAGTTTAGCTGTTTTTAAGAAGGAGAAGACAAGATGCTTCTAAGAAAAAAGCAAACACCATGGAAATATTGCGTAAGACAATAGTGGAAAGGAAAATGGGAAGATAAAGGAGGATAAAAAGCTCTCCAGAAAGTACATCGTCTACTTTTAAGTAGCAGAAGAAAGTTTTTGATCTCATATAATGATTTTGGCCTAAGGCTGCTCCAGTGTGGTATCTTATTTCTCCCTATCAGATGAAAAGGCGTATTATCATGCCCATCCTATTTCATTTCTTTGTATTTCATTTATATGCACTTTTCCTACACTTCCAGAAGACTGAAAAGTAATCTTTTTTGCTGAAGTTTTCTTCTATCTTTTCTCTTTCCTAAAATACGTTGTCTTACTATGGGAACCTTGGTACCTTCAGTTCTTAGAAGTATAGCATGCTTGGCCCTGATCTTTACTCCTCCTCTGTTCCCTGTTTTTGAGATAGTTGCTGTCTTGCATTCCAGTTTTCTTCAAGAGAATACATTCTCTATGAGGAATCTAAGTATGTAAAATTGACAAACACAAAAATTAGAAGTAAGTATTCTTAGAGCCATGCATATATTTATATTTACATTCTCAGGATGATTTGTGGATTTTTTTTTACCTTGTTAATGTTTCTTTGCTTTAAATCATGAGTATTCTGATGATAGACCTCAGGTTTTCCAACAGTTTATGCATTAGAGGATTCCATCAGAAGCATTGGAGCTCTGTTTATATGTAGTACTCAATCCAAGCAAAGGAGATTTAAAAGGCAGAAATACACTCTATAAACAAGTAAATAATCTAGGCGGTTTTCTGATTATAATATACAAGGACATTTGTGCAATTTTGAGTAAGTATTACATAGGTTGCTCCAAATAATGCCTCCTTTTTGTTTCCGTGGAAGCTGCAACATATGCAAGAAGCACAGTAACACTATTTAATAGAGCACATTGCTAGTTATAAAAACTATTTTTCAGCATAGTCACCGTCATTATCTGTGCATTTTCACCAATGATGAACGAGAGCCTTCGTGTTGCTCTTGTAAAAATCTCAATAAGCGGAGGTGACACAGTGTTTAACGGCTGCTATGATGACATAATTGCTGGGAAAATATTGCCCATGCAGTGCATCTTTCACTGGCCTGAACAGATGAAAGTCAGAAGGTGCCAAACAGGACTATCAGTGCACGGAGTAGGACACTTAAGGCAGAGTTGATGATGTGTTCCACAGTCTTCAGACTGGTGTGGGGGTTGGCATTATCATGTTGCAAGAGAAAAGTTGCCTTCTTCTCTGGCCCAGCTCTGGAAGTTTGAGCCTTCAGCTCAGTTGTCATCACGTTGTAGTGGTCAGAGTTGATGGTTTGTCCGAGTTTCAGGAAATCCAGAAGCATCACCCCTTTCCTATTCCAAAAGACAGTGCACATCGCTTTACCTGATTAGGGTTGTGTCTTGAATTTTTTCTTCTGTGAGGAATTCACACATTGCCACTCCATGGACTGCTGTTTTGACTCTGGCTTGGAGTGGTAACACCACCCTGCATCAACAGTAAGGATGTCATCCTAGAAACTGTCACCTTCAAGCTTGTATTCACTAGGTCCTGATGAAATTGCGAACAATGTTCTTTCTATTCCTGGATGGTGCATTCATGGGATGCACCTGGCCCAAACTTAGCAACATTGCTGTCCTGTTTCTAATGCAGTGAAGCCGATATTTGAATGTGTACAGTTCCCTGGTCATAATCTGCTGATTTATGTGGATGAGTTGATTGAGACACTCTTCATTTGTAGTGGGACAGCTGCGTATGGCCATCTGGAATGTGGCTTGTCTTTCTTGTTGCTGCTGTCACTGCTGAAATGCAGTGCAGCCACCACATCACTGTGCTCACATCTGCTGTTTGGTCTCCATAAGTGTTCAGCGAATGTCTGTTGATGAATGTCAGTGGGTACCATTTTTCTCTCTACATGGAGGATTTCAGTGACTTTTCTCTGCTTCCTAAACTCTTCCATATCAGACGCCATTTTGTCAGACTGCTCTTCTACTGTCTGACACAGAGTAATAAAATGTAATGGAATATTGGCAGGGAGATTAAACCTCTACCATCATAACACCAGCACTACCCCTGATGTTGTGGGCTAACATCTTAAAATAGGAGGCGTTACTTTCAGAGCAACCCTCACACCTTTCTATAAACACTTCAAAAGAGTAAGAGAAGCAGGTACCTTGATGTCTGCATAGTAGATAATAGTGTGTTACTTGGTTATATGTGTCGTGGAACAGTGCTATTAATTTAGCATGGTAGAAAAATTAGTCTTAAATGTGAATGAAGGGTAAACATGAATAACACCACCACCAGTATATATAATTAGTCTTTTGTTAGATTATACATTAGGTATTTTTGTAACAAACACAACTGAAATCTTCAGATTGGCTTGTAATTAGGCTCCTTTCCAAAAGTAATCCAGTAATACAGTAGCTGCCGAAATTGCAGTTCAACTTAATTTCACTGACTTTGATTTTTGGACCAAAAGCATTAAGCTTAAACTAGTGAAAAATGTACAAAGTGTGCATTCAATTATGGAGTAATTAGATACTCAATCACCCTATATCACGCTAGGGATTCTCCAAGAAAGGAGATACTACTTACTGCAGTGTATAAAACTGCTTTGTTAATTAGTTTAGCACTAATGGAGATTAAGAAAGTGTCACTTTGTCAAAGCATTAGTTTGCCTATGTAGAACCTTAAGAATGCAGAGTTTTGGTTTCTTCTGAGCTCTTTGAGCTTCTGAGCTTACTCAGATTGTTCATCTGATCAAGTATCTTTTGTCTACAAGAGAAACCTTCCTTTTCAGGCAGGGGTTGGTCCCTGCACCATCTTATCAGTTAACTCACTGAAAAACATGTCAGAGTCTGAGAATAACTTGCTGTCATTATGTGGTTGCTTTTTTTATTTTATTTTATTTTATTTTATTTTATTTTATTTTATTTTATTTTATTTTATTTATGTTTAACGTTGCACCTTTGTGCTAAGCCCCAGGTAGAACTGACAATCCTCTGTTCCATTGCATGAAGTGTAACTATGGCTAAAATCAGCTGCTCTGTGAAGGATCTGCAGTGTCCCTTAGAATGTAGCCTAAAAATTCTTCATGTTGATCATCAAATGATCCTGCTGCCAAATCTCATGGCTTTGGGGGGCGTGTTGTCTATGTAGAGAGAATACAGAAATCATTGCACAGTTTGTCCTGCATGCAGACACCTACTCCTTGACATTGTTGTAGGCCTTTACACTCCTGTTGTCTTGAAGGAAAAGAGTAGAAACTCTCTAGAAATGTGCTGACTATTCCTGCAAGTAGTTGTTGTAGCTCCAGGTAATCTATTGCACCCAAGCACTTATGGATTCCTTGTGTATACATTCTGAGTGCTAAAATAACTTCAGGAAAGATGAGATTGCTAGTACAACAGGATGAAATGATTTGTCATTCTCATACCTACCACTTCTGAAGTGAGGCAACCCAGCAGCTGATTTCTTAAGGTTGTGCTGTAGCACATAAGTATGTGTTTGCATGAAGCCAAATATTAATTTATCTCTACTGCTGATGAATATGAATATTACTGCTATTAGGAGGAACAAAATGGGCCATTGCTTTCAATCTGAGCCCATCTGACACCCATGAAGGCTGTGTACTCAGCACTTTTCTTGGTAGGGCCACTAGGATGGTAAATGGTAAAAAAAAAAACCTTCTGTGTAATAGTATATTTTACTTTCTATTTAAAACTATGCTCTCCACATTAAAATCAATTACCTGATTGATTCAGAAAGCCAATAAAGCTTTGTTTCAAGTTTGTTCCTGCACTTGGCATTTTATATTGCCATTTCCTCCATTGCTATTAAATCTTCCAGTGCTGGCTTTACCCTACAGGAGAAGAATCAGGACCGTTATGTCCATGAGGTGTATACCCGGAAACTGCCCCCACCTGCTGTCCATGGAACCCCTACTTTTAGTTTCTCCTGTCTCCTTGGCTGGACCTAAACATTCTTTCAGACCCACTGTGGAGGAATTTCAGTAACATAATTGTTCCATTCTCTTTTCAGAGAGGGAGAAGACAATGCTCCCACAGTGCCCTTGGATGAGAAATGGAAACTTTTGAGGCTGCTGCTTCAGTTGAACCACAAAGCCTGTATTGTTTGTCTTCATCTAATTCAACTCTGATAGACAGCTGTGACAGTTGTTCTGTCCACACAGTTCAGTGAAATTCTGGAAATGGGGCTGTACATTAAAAGAAGAAAGCATTAAATCTTCCAATTTACACTGTTAGCTATTTTTAAATGGTAATAATCATTGCTTATGTAATTTCCTTTTCTGCAGTAGCATTCAATAGTGGTCTGTGATCCAAATAATACTAATTTTAAGCTTGGTATAAATGTTAATATATAGAGAAATACTCATTGTTGTGAATGTTACATTTAATTTTGTTTTGTAGCATCTCTTTTGCTGTCAGTAACCATCTTTTCTGTAGGGGGGAGGTGTGTTCTGTAAAGCTAATAAAACCATTGGTTGTTCACAAAGTATTATACAAATTCAGAATTCTTTTTTGGGCAGAAATGAACACTTCTCTGACAAGCGCTTAACATGGCCTACCAGAATAAAGCTGAATGACATTTGCATTATTAGGAACCTTATTTGAATAAAAAACAACTTTGGAATAAGGAAAATTAATTGATATAACAGCAGACAGAGTCATGGAATTTTACAAAGAAATTATCATTTCAGGCAGAAAATTATCAGCCTTTGTTCTCCTGTGAATTATGACAGTTCCATTTGTTTCTGCACATGGCTGAGGATGGTGGTCTGAGGCCCTTCTCTGCAGGTCCTGAGCTGCTACACAGCATGGGACCTGCCATTCTGGGCCACACATGACACAGCTCTGACAGAGCAAAAGAGAGAGAAGGAGACCAAGCCTGCAAGACAAGCTCTTAGCTTACAGTTCCTTCTAAACACATAGCACTGAAAAACAATGTCACATGGTTTGAATAGCTTTGGTCTCCATGGCTTTCAGCGCGGTCCATTTTGCTAGCACGTTTATGGTGAGACCTGTGTGAGTGCAAGAATGCAGAGACACAGATGGCAAGCTTCAGGCAGGGCACAATGGAGATGCAAACAGAGGTTCACAAAGCAGAGGTTACTCCCTGGGAGCAGATGGATGAATCATCAATCACGAAGTCATCACCATGCAGTGGTAAATGTAGTGTCACAAGGCATGCTTACTCCATCTCGTGGGGGCTGCTGCTAAATAATGAGTAGCAAATTCTCAGAGTCATATATGTGTGTATTAGGGACAGGAGAAACAATAGGAGAAACCCACACACTGCATATGAACATGGTGAGAGGGAGTGGATGCTGCTCACCGGTTCATGTGGTAGTAACTGTGCGTGCTGCAGGAATGTGTGGAGAGACACGCAGCTGACCTTGGTGTTGCAATAAGAGCATGTAAGTCCATCATGAAGTCATCTGTTTATGAGGATTAGTGGAGTTGTCATTAATAAATTGCTCCTTGAGCCTATGAAAACTCATATTTCTTAGAGTTATGTATAAGAATTTTCCTCTCTATCCGCAACAGCCCAGCATTTACGTCAAAGTAACAGCCTCAGTGGATGCTGCCCCTCTTCCATCTGCAGGGACTCAGTGGTCCTTATGTGCCCCTTCCAATTTGGAATATTCAATGATTCTACAACTCCTCAGACAATTGCAACAACAACCCAACTCCAGAGCCTGGTATCCTCCATTCTTTGCCATAGGGCAGGGTGGAGTCTCTGCATAAAGATTGCTATACGTAGTATCTAGTCTGCAAAGGCTTGGCCGGGTTGTCTGCAGATATTGTGTGATAATCTGTAGTTGTCAGGTTCAGCTCTGAAATCTCTAAAAAGAAAATAAAAAAGGAAAAATACCTGCCAGTTGAGGGCATCTTCCTATCTCCTTGCACCAAGTAAGGAAAGCCCTCCGAAACTGGAGTTAACCGGACTATGAACCTGGTGGTTCTTAGTATGTGTACTTAACTCATTCAGAAGATCTTTTCCTTTTGCACGTGATGTATTATTAACTATTGGGTATTAACTGAAAGGAACTGTAATGTTAATATGGCAAATATTGACGTAATGATGAAATCTGAAATAGTTTATTCTCTGAATAAATATGTTCCTTATCTTGGAGCTGGCTGATATTATTCTGGCTGTGAAATACAGATACATTGCAAAACAAATGATGTAATGTCTCCACTGAAAATCTGAAGTCCATTACTTCCTTTTCCTGTGCTCCCTTCCTGTGTTTGCTGTTCTTTCCTGCATTGCTGTGGACTTTGAAACTTGAGTCATATAAATCCTACTACTGAGGAACTGAGGCTTGTAAACTTGTCTCAACATTTGTGAATTTTTTTTTTTTTTTTTTTTTTTTTTTTTAAGGCTTGGCTTAAAAAGAAACGAAAAAAAAATGCAGGTAAAAATACTTACAACTATATTTTGGCTTTAGAACCAGATCTAATTATAACAAATTCATTCGCAAAAGGCACTCCTAATTACAGAGCGATCAACCCACATTTGTGGTGTGTTGGGAAAAATTAAATTAGTCTTTCTGGTTTCAATAGGAATCCACAGGGAGGAATTTGCAGAAAGGGCTCTATGTGTATTCCTTCGGTTACACTGCACCCATGAGAGGCTTTATGAAGTGTGGCAAGACTGTTACTCTTCAATTAGAGTTCCATATGCCTGCCTTGTATTAACATTTTTAAGAAATCATAAAAATTGATAAAGGTGTTCTAGGAGTAATGTAAGGCCCTCAATTAATAATGTCCTTTTCAAGTCTACAGCCACTAAAATTGTCCTAATTAGCTTGCTATCCGCACTGGAAGTGTTTTTAAAGGTAATTATTAGTGTCAGTGGTGCACCGTATAATTTTAAAGACTTATTAGATATGTGAATTAGAGGTTTCCAGGAGGCGTGGAGGCTAGAAGAAATTCACAGGTAGGAGTTACACACTTGATCCAGAAAGTTATGATATCATACTTAGAAGCAGCCAAGTGCCTCATAGGCAAAAGCTGGCTTTGCAGCCTTCACGTAAATGTTAGGATAATACAGAGAATAAGAAACATAGGTTTTGGGAGAAGACAGGTGAGGTGGGATGGTACGTTCCCTGTGGTTGACCTTCGCACTGCAATTGATAGGATCTTTGGATTCCTCTGTAGTTTTCTGAAGCTCTGAAGGAACACTTGGAGATCTAAAGCTCTTCACGTGTGTTCAGAGCACTTTGAACTGTGGGGTGTGGCCATGGGCTCCTGCCTAATCAGATCAGGTCTCTGTGATTCGTTCATCCTTCATACAGCAGCGCTGCCTGCTGAAATGCCAGGCAGCTGGAGAACCATTCACCACATCTCCTTGAGATTGGGCCTTGTAGAATGTGTTGGAAGTCTTCAGGTGCACATTTATTTTTGAAACCGTAACTATCTGTGTAGCTATGTATGTTAGCACACATCTCTCTGTTTATTCATATCTTCAGAATACTAGACATAGAAAAACTGTTCTAAAATGAATGTTAAGGGTTTCTAATTAAAGCTAAGAAGTACCACTGTGAAGACTATGTGCCTAACATCAGTTCACCACCACTGTACATATTCAGTTGGTGTTTGTATGAGTGGATATTTTCCCCTTTTCCTGATGTCCAAGTGCTGCTTACTTCTCTTATCCCCATTATTTTTTATTTAGTCACAGGACCTTCGCACTGGGTGATGTTCAAGAAGACGTAATCATTAATTTTTTCATGGGGCTAACTCTCTTTGTTTGAATGCTTCAGGTGTATTAATGACTTTTTCACTCATTTTTCAAATGCCTTCTATCCTGTATCACCCACCTGAGGGACATTCCTCTGATCACAGAGCTGTTACACGTACAATGCCAGGCATAAGAAGTAGAGCAGTCAGCTACTTTAGAGAGAGAGAGAGAGACTGTTCATAAGGCCCTGTAACACATGTGGTCCTTGTCCATGAGAACTTGGTATGACTTCATCTGCAAAGTTATCTAGCCAGCATTGACTCACTGGTCAGGTTACCTCTTCAGCCTTCTCCTGATGAAGTAATGATTTCAACTGCAAGGTTTGTTTTTCAGTGCTGGGTCATTTCTGTGGCTCTTCCATCCAGTATCTTCAAATCCTTCTTGCTGGTGCTCTTATCATGCTGTGTACAGAGGCAGTCTCAGCTTTTCATTTCTGCTTGTCTTATCCAGTGCCTGACCTCATTTTGATTCAAAGAGACCCTGCACCTCCCCATGTATCAGGCAAACAACAGGAGATGGGATCTGAGGAAAGGAAATATTAAGTAAACATTGAAAGAATTTGCCCTATAAAGTATACAATGAGTTACTTAAGCCATGAAAAACAAAGATAAAGCATGAAGGTAGCAGAGAGCAAAGACAGCATGAAGAAATTTCCTTTAATGTACTTCTATCTAGCAGAGATGTGGTTGGAAATATTCCTTCTCTATTCCAATCTCCACTAAAACTCATTGAATCTGGCCCGTTCCAGGTGGAACTTGCCCATTTGGGGTGAAAGTGGCTCATTTTAGGTGACAACCAACAGTCAAATCAGTGATTACAAGTCACATGCAGCGTGCATTGTTCCCAGAGTCTGCTGTTCTCATGTCCCTCTCCTACCAGCACCAGGAAAATGGTGGCACAGAGCAACCCTTATCCCACATGTCACCTCTTCACCACATTCCCTGTGGTTTACTTTTTGTTCCCCCAGGAAAACAATAAAGAAATAAACACAGACTCCACTATTTTGAAAAGTAGAGCACTCATGAAAGCTGGAGATTCAAGAATATAAGCATTGTTTAAGATGATGGTTATGTCTGAGATGGAGATGAAAAACATCTTGATCTTACATAGACATAAACTTCTTGCATCCCTTAGGCTTTAATATAAACATACACTATAAACAGTGTTTTCTGAAGTGCCTCTCATGTAAACATCTGACAGTGGTGAGCATGAAACAGATGAAAGCTCTGATAAGGCAGAGAAACACATAACTGCATATGATACACTGTGTCAGCAGAACTGTAAATAGCAGGTATAAAGTAATTCTGGAAAATATATGTTTAACCTCATGTTGTGAAGATACCAGATTTCTGCTCTATAGGTCAGCTGGAAGTGAAATTTCATTATCTTGAGTCACAATTAGAAAAATGTTTGATCTCTTTACTTGTATAATCTTATGTGTGGCTGAGCAAAAAGAAAAAATGCAAACGAAAGGTAGCGGAAAGATTTATTCATAGCTTAGAAACATGCAGTAATTCACAGAGATAAGGAGATGTTTACTCAAGAGGCAAATCAAAAACAAACACAAAAAACCCTGAGAGCTGTGTGCTCTTGGCAGCAAAGCCAGTAATGATTATCAAGTGCATGAGTCTCAGTGTGAAATTACAGGCTGCCATTTAGCAGATGTGCTGCAGCGTTTTGAACCTTCCTGATTTCTTGGCATTGTACATTTTGTCCACCCAAGCTCCACACAATTCAAAACAATATCCTAGAAAACATGAGGCCAGAGCATCCTAAAACATCCATACTAGGGCCATTGCGAATGGCAAGTGGACTTGCAGAGCCAAAGAATCTGTTTGCAGCAGAATCTGTGCTGTCTGGCATTCAGATGATGATGTGACTGGATAGAATTTTTACAGGTGTCCCGTAAAGATGTTTAATTGCACTATATCATCCAGCCACTAGATGTCTGCATGCTATAGAGCTTGAGGCAGGTTTGGTTCCCAGCGGACAAAGGAAACGCAGTGTCTGTGGATGTCTCACTTTGTATCATAATCTGGCATCTGTTTTTTTCTGAACTATGCCCCTTGTTCAAGGAGGGAGAAGAGATACTCTGCAAGAAAAATCATATATATGAAAACCGAGTATGATTTCTATTAAAAATGGAAAGGAAACACTAGATTGAGCCATTTTCAGATTGCATCTTCTAAAATAAAATTCACATATAAACGCTGGAAATCAAATAAAACTGCGACACCTGAGTTGGCACAGATTCCAGTGAAGCAAGTTGCTCATCTGCACCAGCAGCAGCAGCTTACAGCACAGACAGTGTAAGTCTGGCTGTGGTAGTGATGTGAATGTGGATGCCCTTTCTCCCAGCATTTCCTCAGGGCACAATGATCTGCTGCCCTTCCCAAGCGCCAAGAATCATGTGGAGAAAAAAACCAACAAGCTTTCAGAGCCTTTGATGTGGTACAGTGTGAAAGTAGTGGATCATTTGCAGTGTCCTCTACTCCCTGCATTTGAGCTCTGCCTCCTTCTCCAAGGCCTCTGGACACCTGTATGGCATTTCTTTTCCTTGTTCCAAGATACAACCTCCTCTTGCTGCTCCTGGATGCCTTCCCCTGCTGCTGAGGTTTCTTTTTGAATGCATTTAGTAGTGGGTGGTTGCAGAGCACAACTGCTCCACATGTTCTACTTGATGTGATAGTATTTACAGTTTCCTAGGATTTGAGCCCTGTCTTGTGTTCAGACTTTCCTTCCTTCCTCACAGCTCTTGGTTAATTAATCAAGTAACAGTACCTAAATCCAGTTTCTCATGAACAAAATTGACTCTAATATTAAGGATTCAGTTGCATTTTAGAGTTGATTACCATAATTGTGCTTAGTGTTGCATTGCAATTGACTGTGCTTTTAATCACTAAAAGGCTTGCAGACACTCCAAAGCTCATTTCACACAGTTTTCACTTGATAAATGCAGAGAAGGAAAACCCTTTCAGGGTCTTGTATTTACCAGGTGCAGAAACATTCTTCCATTGTCCTTAACCAAGTGTCAAATTCTGTCTTTGTGGCCTATGTACAGAGCAATGAGGATGTTTTTCTGTTTTTAAGTAGAGATACAACTGATAGGTTGCTTGTTGCTTCTTTTCAAATTAGAGCTGCATCAGTTCTGTTGTCATATACGTGAGTGCTAAACTATGGAGTTCGTGCTCTGCAACACTGCTTCTTAATTCACAGAAATCCTGAAATTATTTGGGGGCAGATGAGTTGCCTTGAGAGGAAAGCCAACTGTGTGCCTGATCTTGTGGTCACAAGAATATGCTGTGGCACTCTGGGGCAGGGTAAGATGCAACCCTTTGCTCTTCCTTCTCCCTTTTTGTTCTGTGATTAAAATATGAATCATTAAACTGTGAAAAATCTCA